TAGTTGTAATGACAAAAGCCACTGGTAATCAGAATAGCAATAGCATTGATTTGGAAGTACCCTTGGATTATGATGCCAGTATATCATTCGAGATCCCGACACGAGACGAAGACATTTTGCCGCCCATTAACGCCAACAGTGTACTACTGGGAGGTATCCTGATAGCCACGCCCTCGAAAACACAGTATACCCAATACACAAACTTCAACTCATCGGCATCGGATGCCTGCAATCCGGCCTGCAAGTCCAATAAGAATGAGATATGCACCAGCATAACGGAATATGTGAATCGTTGCGAATGCCGGCTAGGATTTGCACGCATGTTCCCAGATCGGCCATGCAAACGTAAGTTTCTTGATTTATTTTAATACATACATAGATGTATGTACTATAGACGAATGCAACAATATAATATTATTAATAATATTATGCAGTAAAATATAAACGTCCGTTAGCTTTATTATATTAATTCTTGTCCGCTCTCTTTATTCTTCCTCTTTTTGTTTTTGTTTGAAGTATCGATATCGTCACCGATATCACGTCAATTTCGCTGACAATATCGATACTTCAGACATATTGCACTGGGTTGCTTATTATATTATTACATTGCTAATCAATTCAAATTCACATTCGATTTGTTGTCGAACTTACAATGCGTATATTGATTTTTTTTTGTATGCTTTTACAATCCACATTACAGCCACATATACATACGAGCTGCAAATACCAATTACTAGAGTTGGAAATTACCTACTCAAATTCAGCGACGAGTTTCTAAACAATTCATCAAGCCAATATCGACATCTGAGTTCAATAATTCTTGATGCCATCGATCGCATGGTTATGCAGTCCGACTTCCGCGATGTATACTATGGTGTCCAGTCAAAAGAAATCTACTCCAACAGGGATGGCGCAGTGTTGGGCTGTTTTTTGCTACAGGTTTAATTTAAAAATGAGAAATTGTTTTAGATTTATTATATATATATAATTAATTAATTATTTTAGTTGTCGGAGAATAGCAACGAAAAACGCTTAGAAACTGTTTTTAAGAAATACCTGCGCCAGAGTAACTACAGTATTGGAGGAACTGAGTTATACACGTCCAAGGAGGATATCAACATGCTATCAATTAAAGGTAAATTAAATTAATAAACCAATCATTTTCATTTAAATCTCACAAAACGTTGATAAATATATAATAAATAGTTATCCATAATGTAAGATTTTGAATAATTTGAATTTAAATTTGATCAAATCCTTAACAGTGGATTTGATATCGATATCGATGTAACTCTGTTAAATCCAATATCGATACATTCTTTGGTTTGTAGCTCTGTTAGATGTAATATCGATACAAACCGAAGGAATGTATCGATATATTCAATAAGCAAACGATCACTTTTTGAAAGATTGTGAAACCGATCGGTTGTGCAAAAGAATAAAAAGCGGAAATGCATACTTTATAATATATATAATTTATTTAGATTTTGACGAATGCGTCCACGATGACTTTAATGATTGTTCTACTCATGCCCACTGCTTCAATTTGGTTGGCAGCTATACCTGCAGCTGCCCCGACGGCTATGTGGACATATCGGATAATCCAATTTATCCGGGCCGTCATTGCGCCGATCATGTGATTGGCTGCGATAGGTGCAACTACCATGGCAACTGCGTTACACCGATTTTGAATGGGACTCCAGTCTGCGAATGCTTTGCTTGGCATGCTGGCGCCATGTGTCAATTAAATTTAAAGATTCTGCTAATAAGCCTCATCGCAATAGGCACCGTATTTATCGTGTTGCTCGTCTGCGTTCTGCTGATCTATACAAGACGCCGGGTGCGGCGGGGTGGTTCTACGTCGAGGCATATATTTATCACGGCATCCAATTACCATCCTAGCATGTTGACAACGTCCAGCAACAAATCGGTCATGTCCTCCTCCGCAGCTCTCATACGTAAATGTGGCAGCATGGAAAAGCATGTGATTTTAAATGATTCAAATAGCGAATCTAGTCACAATTCTGGGCCATATTCGTTCAAGGTAATGATTTGATTCAAGACTAGGGAGATAGGCATGAGAGAAAGAATGCATAAGATCCCGTCCCGATCCATTTGAAAATCACTTACCGGCCCCGTCATTCCCGTCCCGTTCCCGATTTAGACAGTTTTTTGATTTTTGATTTCTATCTCAAAATTAGGATTCAAACCTCTGCGCAGCCGACACGGTCGAGCCGGAACAATCGGATCGGTCACTTACAGTGATGATTCCGCGTGCCAAATATTATCACCCGACAGTTTTGCCGCATGCACAACTTAAGAAGCACGAGTTGACACTGGAAAAAGTCGATAATACAATTCTATTCAAAGGGACGCCACAATTTTATGCGACCCACACTGATGCCAAACTTAAAGGAGGAACAACAAGAGATCCGTCCGAGCCCTTTGGGCTCAAAGAGTCTACTACCCATAACAGTGGCGCCCTAGTCTCTGCTGGCTTTGAGGTGTCTGCAATTGTAAGCGATCGAGCAGTTCAATCAAGTTCAAGCAAAACAGTCGAGTGGAAGGAAAATCAAAATGACCAAACACATCAAAGTATATCCAGAGCTAACTTAGAAGCCATTTTCAATTCTGGCGAGTAAGTTTACAATGGCATTTTCAAAAAAGTGTGTTGTCCCCATAACTAATCCTATTCATTTCAGGGATATTCATAGAATGAGCTCCTGGATGACCAATATTCCTCCGAATGCTATGTAAGTGATGCCAATAAGTCTTCCATCTAAAAATACCGGGCAAGGCCGGGAAATTCCTGCTAGCATATGGATATATGAATAACTTTCTTTTTAGATCGGCTGATGTGCGCTCATTTGATGAAACGACAGTCCAGGCTGTGACCAAATCAATGCATCTATGTTTCGACAAGCTGGCGCAGAGTACTACAAATGAGGTAATTAATATGACAGCGATTATATATGTTATAGATAAAATGATTAACTTACATTTGAAATCTGTTTAGGAGGCGAACACAATGACAGAGCGAGATCTTGGCTCTACATTTTTGCTGCCGCATACACACCTTTACAAGCCAGAGAAGGTATCAAATTTGACAAATACGCAAATTCTATATAAGCACTAATCGCTTGATTAATTATAGCTCGAGAGTGACCTGTCCGGCTTTGACTCGTTATAAGATATATACCATATATATATCTGTATATTTAAGGAGAGTCAACTCATAAGATTAAATTCGTTGTAAAAATATTTGATATACCGACGCTATTGTAACATAATTCACGCACGAAGCCAGGATACCTCTGGATTTATTCGCATTTGTTATCAAATAATGGAATATTTTATAGTAATTTACGCACGGCACCCATTTAAAATGGGTCAAAAACTTTAATAACTCTGTCCAAAGTATGTTATTGCTAACATTTCTAAAATAAGCACTAACAACTTAACCAATTTGGCTTCCATCTGTCTAAAAATCTGGCTTAATCATTTACGATCTGGTTTCGCCTGAAAAATTAAATTTGTACACATAGCAAGATTTAAAGAAAGAAGCACAGATGCATTTATAGAAATCAGTACGAATTTATGCTGCGACAGTTCGCAAATGGGGGAGCAGGGTAACTACCAGTCGGGCACATCGCTTGTTGTCTTAATTAGTTAAATTTAAAAGCATATTTTTCTTGCCCTTGTGAATATATATTTATATGTCCATAAAGATGTATTTGAATGTAACGTTGCATTTATATATCGAATTAACTCCAACTAAATAATAAGTCGACTAGCTATAAATTTTACAATCAAGAATGCATTTATTGCGTTTAACGTGTTTTTTAATTATAAACTTTAAATAAATTGTGTGCCAGCAGATTATCTGTAAGTCAACCAAAATGTATTGCCTTATTATGCATAAAATGTATTGTAAAATATGTAATGAAAACAACCTTACCTTTATTTATTTATTATTTATCTAATAAAATTGTAAAAAAGCTAAACACACTATTTTAAAAAAAACTAAGCCCGAAAAGAGTCTCAAGCTAGATTAACTAGCTAAATCGACTTTGTAAGTAAGTATTTTTCTAATCGTAATGCTGTAAATAGGTTTCACAAAGTTGTAAAGTATTTGAATTATAATAACTAGGTAAGACATTTCTCTTTTGAATTATAAAGGTTCAAGATCGAAAAAACAGTAGGGCATAGTATCTGTATCTGAGCTGTACCTTTATTACAATTACGACCCTTTCGAGTGTCGGCTGAATATATCCTGCTGACGGGGTGCAAAGTCCACACAACTAGCAATTACGAGAACTATTACCTAGTCGGGGATGTGCGACTAGCGCTTGCCCTGTAACCTGCAATATTTTTCAATTAGACTTGATCTAGGCATGTTTTCAAATTTCATACATTTAGGTATTATATTAAAAGGTTCCGTGAGAGCGAAGGAGGAGAAGGAGGCATTTCTTCTGGTCAAAAGGAGAAGGCCTCCTTCTGTCTGTTATATAAGTTGCACAAAACCATGATACCCCATCTGAAATGGGGTACAGGGTAGAAGGATAGGGGTTGATATAGGGTTGTGTTCGCAGCTTTTTTCGTGTCAAAATGGACGGTGGTCGATGCCAGCTCGTTGCCTCTCGGCTAATACCACGAATATATTTTAGGGGTTCGGTTGCATTTTTTAGTTTACCGTGCAGAGGCGTCCTCGTCGGGGATTCAACGATCGCCCCCCCGTCGGCAATAACATGCTGGGTCACTGAACTTTTCTGACCACTTGCGAGTAGCCGAGAATATATGTATATATACCTGACCAAATGTCCCTATATGACCAATATTCCCAGCTCAGCGATACAATCTAGCGCAATCTCGCTCAATATAACTATAGCTAGGGGTTGGCAAAGGCCCGCTGACCAGAGGCACAGAGGGTGTACAGGTGTGTACAGGTATAGAGGTGTACAGGTGTAGCGACTGGTCGCCCAGCAGTGTAATTCGAGCAGCTCGTCTGAAACAGTTTGGTCAAAATAAAAAATATAAAAATGTATTGTTTTTAAATAAAATTACTTATACATTTTTTGGATTATACAAAAATTGAACCGAGTTTAAAGTAAATAAGTGATATTTGTACTGTAAATGGGCAAGGTCCTTTTTCTGTAGACATACATTTTGGGCTTGCGGATAAAATGATTATATATATATAATGCCACCAAGTGCTAATCTGAAGAGTACTATATAATATATGATAATAATCAATCTGTCTTTGCGAACAAAATGAATCACAGGTTATTCAATTAATCAGTTTGCGAGTGAATTGAAATTTTGTCGAAATTATTTGTGGTGACTAATTTACTGAAAATACTATAATGAATGACTCATAGAGTACTCATGAGCACTATGACGGATTTTTGGAAAGTCCCAGCAAGCTTGGAAAATCAGAATTCGATTGTACGCATATTCCAAGATATATTTATATGGAATAATTCATTTGATTTGGTTTGATTTTAAATGATTGATTCGATTTTTACAAAATTTCGCCACAAAGTTATATCAATCAGATCGACTTCAAACTAATGTTTCGATATTAATCAATGTGCATTTTGATTGGTTTTGGAAAATTCATTCTCCAGCTCTCTTGGGGGAACTGAAAATATGGTTGTGAGAAAAAGGGAACGTTGCAATCTTAGCCAGTTAGCCAGTCCATGTTAAAACTTTTCCAAAACTGAGTGCGTCATATTTCCAAGTCCTCAGCTACCTCGCTCACTTGTCAAATGGTCTCAAAATAGAGAATAGTTATATTTTGAATTAATATGGCGATAATTTTACATTTCGTAAATGTACTTTTAAATATAAGAAATGCATATAAAATGTTTGGTAAAATATAAGACATACGGTAAAATGTAGACATAATGATAAAATATAAGTTCCCCACATTTACATTTCAAAATGGCGTCGCCAAGCTCTTTGCAGCGCATCGACGCCCCCCAGCCAGTCGCAAACGCCTTGCCACCCTTTTGCGACGAACGACGCGTCGTGTTCTTCAGGCCAATCACGGGCCATCGACTTCGCGAAGTTCTCTGAGCTGTGTTAAAAGAGCCAATGAGAGAGCTTTAGGCGCGAGAGCGTCGCCGATTAGAAGAAGATAACCTGTATCCAGAGCACACACACACACACAAGCTCGCAAACTTGGCGTCTCATCCCTATAACAGTTAATGCCACCTTAAATTGTTGATGTGTTTGTTATTCGTGATTCACACAAATTGTCTACAGACTTTTTGTTAAGTGGGAACTAGTTGATCCAAGACTGTAGTTTTTTAGAATTATTGCTCTGAAAATGTGCGGGATATACATATATGTATACCTAAGCCTTTAAAGCAGAGTATTCATTATTATTCTAATATTATTTTAGATAAGTAAACGAAAAAAAGGAAATGATTACGGCAGCAAAAAAATTGAAGGGCAGCGATGGTCAAATCGGAGGATTCCGGCATATCGTTGGAGCGCCAGATGTGGATGAGTCCGACGAGGAGGAGCGCGAACTAACTAATTTAAATTGGCTACTCAGAAACCAAAATCTATCGTGGCCAAAAACAATTGATGTGAACTCTGAGGATGATCTTAATAATAGCCAGGTCGGCAGCGGCAATCGGAAACTGTCCACTGCAGTCGAAAGTATCAATGCACAGAAAAAACCAAAGGCTTTGGAATATGATACTTTCAAGAATATGGGACATAAATCCTGTCCGGACTCGAGAAAATCAAGCACAGCAACGGCACCTTTAAAACGTCCAAGTCCAGCCGAGCGCTACGATATTTTCATCAACAAAATAAAGCGGTGAGCATAAATTAATTAAAATATATTCAAAATCAGGTAAAATAAGCTAAGAATCGATTTCTCATTGCAGCGATTTAGTGGAATATGAAAAATCGGCCAACAAATATAAAACGGATGTAACACACAAGCCGCCATTCAATTACTCTCACATCATTGGAATGGCAATGCTCGAAAATGGGCGTGTCACATTGCAGCAGATTTGCGCTTGGATTGAGGCAAAATTTGCCTTTTTTCGCGTGCGTAAAAAATGGAACGTAAGTGCGCATTTTTTTACCCTTGATCTTCTATGATTATGATCCTTGTTCACGAAATCGGATCGGGGCGGATCGCTAGATCGGATATCCCGATCCCACTATACCGAAATAACTGTCTGGTCTATTTAAGACAAGTAAGAGGTTTGAGTCGGGAGCTCCCGACTAGGGGATACCCTGAACCCTCTTCTTCCAACACCCAATGCAGCTTCCGATACGCGCTCAATTGCTTTAATAGTACTAAAGAAAAAATAAAATACAAAAAAAAAATTGTTCCCTTTGCAGGGTTCGAACTCGCAACTAACCGCATCACTTGCCGCCGCCTCTACTCAAAGGCCACACCAATAACTGAGCTTTAATGAGAAAAAAACCAATTAATATAACAGCACAGAAAACAATACAATCGCAATTCCAATGCTGTTAATAGAATGTGTGTGTGTGTACATGCATACAGAAATTCTTGGAATTTGCGCAGCAGCTATGCTATGCACGTGCGCACGTAACTTTTGTGTTTCTTAGCCGATCTTAATGAAATTTTCGACAGTTCATCTTATTGTAGAATAGAATATTAGAATATTTGTGTATTCTCAAAAATGCTTAAATTGATGGGCAATACAAGTTGGATAATTAACTTGATTTATAGCTTTGCGGTGGTAGCGGGCAGGTGGCGAAAGGTACAAAATGAAAGATACTTGATATATGTATACTATTCTAGAAGCTACATGTCAAGTTTGGTGACTCTAGCTCATATTATTTGACGTAATTGCTCAAAAAACAGGATTTCGATATCGATTTTTATCGACTACTTGGAAACGGGGCAAGTTATCGAATATCGAAAACAAACTCGATCTGCGCGATCACTAGGAGGACCTAAATCCAAAATTTCAAGTCTCTAGCTCTCATAGGTTCTGAGATCCTTGCGTTTATACATACGAACAGACGGACGGACATGACTAGATCGACTCGGCTATTGATGCTGATCAAGAATATATATACTTTATGGGGTTTTGCTGTTCTTACCTCTTACCTCAGTGTTTATTATTTGTAGAATTCCATCAGGCACAATCTGTCGCTGCATCATTGTTTTCGCAATCGCAAACGCGAGGAGAAGGGCAAGGGAGGCTATTGGGAGCTGGGAGTGGATCCCAAGAAATGTGATAGAAAACGCATACGTAATCGCAAAACAACCCAATCGAAGCTGAATCCAGCTACGAAAAGTCCGTTGTCAAAATATCAATTCGGCGACAATGCGCCGGATGAGAAGGCCCGAAATTCCCGGCTGGATAGTTGTTCCGACAATAATAACATTGCCGAGCATGATGTGCAATTGGATTCGCTAACCCTAACGGAGGTGGAGGTTGGCTTCGGCCTGACATTACCAAATGCTCTGAGCCCACGGTTGCACGATCCGGACGGCACTTTCCTATACCCGGATACATTTGCGGCGACCCTGACAAACAATGATGCCGCCTTTCATCTGCAGCAGCAGCAATACGAGCTGGGCACGATTATAATTAGTACGACGGGCATTCTGGATGAGCCTTCCTCTTCTTCTTCTTGCCTAAATAGCATCATCGGCAACAAGTTCGGCTGTTCCAATATGGTAAGATCAGATCCTGGATCACAATTTTCAAATTATTATTATGATGCGACGTGGTTTGCTTTTGTTTTTTTTTTTAGATCTATACGGAGGATGAGATTCCCACACCAAGTGAGAATGTCATCATTTCGTCGCATAAAATGGATGCCAATAAAGATGCGCCCGTGGAGATCCCCATCCCCATCCCCATGCCCATCCCGAGTAGCTTTACCATCAATTGCGATTACTCAAATTTTCGACCATTCGATGAGCCGTTCAGTTATCTCCAAAGCAGTGAGATCAATCGAAATGAGGACATTCTGGATAACCTGCTCGACGTGTGTGTTAGAGATTATTAGAGATTAACAATATATCGCCAAATTAAAGTGCACATTAAACCTTAACCTAAAGCTAATCTAGTTCATAATTGATCTTATTACTACTAAATGCAATTTTCCGGCAGTTTTCCGGGCCAAGTTTTTTATTATGGTCCCCCGAGTAGGTTCAAAAAATGTTTGCTTTTGTGGAAAAACAGTCGAGGAGGATTTTCGTATTGCAGCTTTATTTCTTGTACTCTTCTTCTTCTACTCTTCTGTCCATATGAGAACGTCTTCTTAATGTGCTGAAAACTTTCTTTCCAGCTTTCCTATTACTATTTCCTGTTGAACAAAGTTAAAAGAGCATAACAATAACAAAATTAAATTGAAAAAATTTCTATAATCTTCATTGGTTTAAAAGTTTTAGAGAAGAAACAACATGGACCGTATATGGAAAATCTTAACAACATCTGGTAGGTATATATATATATATAGGAACAGTCGGTCGGTCGGAGATAAAGTTTTTAAATGAGAAACATTCGAAACATTCGCAAGAGTTTTTCCTCTCTGTCGTGCCGAGGTTAGAAAAAAAACAGTAACTTACACAAAACAGATCAAAAAATTGTATTTTCTATTGTTGATTGACAGAAAAATTTTTTTGTAATCTTCTAAAAGTAGTTGATCATTTTCGAGTACGTTCTACAAAATAAGTAAAAAATATATATATATAATATTATATATGTATAAAGATCAGACTTGAAATGCATAGAAAAAACCATTCTACACATTAAACGTAGTTAAAAATCAAAGTTAAATATGGCTTCAAGTGCATTTTATAGTGGTTCATGTATTTTGTTTTATGTACATTTATTTATCTTAAAACAAATTAGTCCTCAAGTCGAGAATGTCCGACTAGGAGAGAGGCCTGAACGCAGCTCTGCAAAGTATATTTAATCATAAAAGATTTGTGTAATTAGTTGAAATCCTGTAGATAAATAAGATCCAAGTGAGTTATATTATAATAAAAACTTTAATAATGGCTCAATATTTGAACTAGTTCGACAAATTAACCGGAAATCGATTTCTCAGGCAATACTAAATAGATTTAAGCCCGAATCATTTGGAACTCTCCATCTACTCAATCTAAGCTATATCCAAAAAAAAAAGGTAGCCTCATCAGATTTGTAATATTAGGGAGAGTGGAGGAAGGAATGTACCCAAAGCTAAAATACTCTTGAAGAACATACTTGCATATATATCCAGATAGCCAAGTTTGAAAATCGATTATTATCGACAAATAATCGATAAAACGATGGATATCGATATCATAGAATGAAGTTAGGAAGTTAGGATAAACGACTTGTTTTGGGATCTTGTTTCAGGATTCTTAGCTTCATTCAGAACTTGAAGCCTCTAGGCAGACAGTCGGACTATAAGACACGGCTAAAATTGACTATACTATATATATATATATATATATATATTATTTAAGGTGGGGGGAGATACGCATCTTAAACATATTTTTAGACTGGGGGCATATTGTAAAATAATTCAATTACGATCTAAAACTTAATTCGAACTTTCTCTATCTGCTCGGAGAATTATTGTATATTAGGGACATCATAAATTCTATGAACAAGCGCATTCCAGGACCTGCATATCGCTCCAGGTTGATATTTTGAGCTTATCGCTGTGCTCCTCGTCCACGTGCAAGATCTCCAGTTCGGTCAGCTTGGACGGGGCACAGCATGGTCGGGGAGCACGATTGTGGTCCTGTTGCCAGATAAGGCTTTGCAGGAGGGCGTGGTGATGGGCGGGATTGTGCCTGGGCGGGCAGCGACCACGGCAGTAGCCGGCATCGAATACTTTTGGCTGAATTATGAACTCGAATCCCTTGATGTCCTTGAAGGCCACATCCAGCTGGTGTCGGCAGCAACGTTGATGCGTCTTATAGCAACTATTTGGCCACTTCTTCACCTGCTGATTCTTCTGATTATGATGATAGAACTGAGAGCTGCTGTGATTGTTGTTGTTGGCCAAGCCAAAGGATTGAACTCCCTTCTCGCGGTGCGTGCGCCCAATATGTCCGATAATGTTCAAAACCGGCGCCAGATGAAACCGATCCTCCTCCTCCGCCTCCTCCTGTGTGGGCGTGGCAACATCACTGAGAATGCGAGCACCGATCCGCCTGCACTTGTCGCAGTGAATCTCAATGCCGAGATTCTCGTGGCTCTTGTTCAGCCAGCCCCGCACCGCGTCGGTTACATCGAATTCCAGCCATTGACTGCGGGTCTCCTCATTCCGGCTGCCGAAATTCGGATTCTCGAATTCAATCCGACGTGCATCCAATTGACGGCGTTTGTGCATTGGCAGCAGCTGATAAACCTTCAGGTTTAATATGTGGCTCCGGACTTTGGGCCGGCTTGGAGGACTGTGTGGATGTGGATTCGCATCATCCGTATCGCAGCTGGCCTTGCTCCTCAACGGATTTTGTCTGGTTCTACTATGATGTGTTTGCGCCGCCGCCAACGCCGGATTGTAGAGCATCATTAGCCTTACGTTCGCCTCATCCAGTTTCTCGTAATGGAAATCGGCATCGTTGGCATCGTTGATGGCCAAAGGGAAATGCAGCAGAATGTTTGTCCCAAATTCATTTGCCCTTTTAAAGGTTTTGGTTTTTCTTTCCCGATTCTTCGCTTCGCTCCTCATTGCTCGTCTCTGGCGGCCGCGCCTTTGGCTTATGTCATTAAACCTATTTGTTACAATGCTTAGAATCTGAAGGGTTGTCGGTGGAGGTCCTGAAGAATAGAGCTGCTCCATGGCGTTCTTCACTCCATGGTTTCTCCTTAAGCGTTCCAAGTATTCAATGTATTTGCTAGAGTATTCTAATTGGCTTATGTTCGCCTACAATGAAGATAATATAAGAAAATGTTAATCATTTTAAGGATCAGTTAATCAAAAGTTGAAAGAAATTGTAACTGAAATATTATTATACGATGTTTTTGCCCCGTTTAGGTATGCAATGGAATTTTTCATCCAAATAAATTTTATCTCGTCTGCCTACTGGGCATTTCTGTTCGCCTGGTATTTTTGCCAAATTTTCGTTAAAATCTCACGTCCTTTTTTCATAGCAGCAGTTATTAACAGTGGTATGTTAAGTAACATATGCTTAACAGTGGACTGTTAAATAACAGTAGCAACTGTTAATTAACAGTGGACTGTTAATAAACTTTTTTTAATACATTATTTACCTGCTGGGCATTTCTGTTCGCCTGGTATTTCAGCAGAATTTTGAACCAGTGCAATGAGAAATTTGCGACCGTTAATTTTCAATCCCTCATTTAATTGTGGATAAAGTTTTTAGGAGAATTTTGTTGGGATTTGGAACTATAGGATCACCAGAACTATAGCTATGGAATGGTTAAGCCAAGGATATATCGGGCATCTAGGAACCATAGAGGGAGGAGGAACGGCTGTAGGTTCGCCAGGACTCTATAAATGGAATGGTTGAAACCAAGGATATAATATTATGGGTCATCTAGAAACCGGTTTTGATTTTCCGGACGTTCCCGATTTAGCTTAAAAATAGAAATTCGCCATAGCTCAGACATTTTGCAACAATAAATTAATTAATGTTCATATTTAGCCGATGAATCGCATTTCTACCGAAGAAGTTTGGATTCTGCGAAAAGTGTTAAGCACGTGGAACTTAATTTGATCGCGAAACGTATTGGATTCTCCTAAAAGTGTTAAACACCCTTCAAATGAATGACGGTAAACAAAAAAGATTCATACAAACGTTTTTCGCGATTTTTCAACACATGCAAGTGGAATTTCCCAAAACCCCGATTTATATATGGAGATGTATTTTATTCAAAGATTATACATAACTAGGAAATGCGCAATTTTTGTAGCAGCTAGCTAGCTCTCACCTTTTTCATATCCGGTAATTTTTTTAATCCAAGTCCCTTCATAATTAGTTTGGTAAGTTTCTCTTTGTTAATAATTCTGTTGTACATATGGTGATTATCTTTGTATTTCTCAAAGGCGACTTCTTCTAATTTTTGGCTGTCAGCATCATGTTGACGTTTTTGAATCTCACGAACTTGCGCGTTTTTGGCAATATGAACGTTTCGCTTGGTGCGGCGGATTGAGGAACCGTTTGCCATCACGGCTGACTTTGGTGCATCTAGGCTTCTATTTAGGCTTATCTTTTGATTATTATCAGATTGACTTAGAATTATTACACTATATCCGCGTAATCCGCGGTGATTAGATGGATAAATGCGACTCTTGCTTTTTATTATTCTATCGGCGGGCCTAACTTGGCAATCCTTTTTTGTTTTAGGTCCTCGCAGCTGCCCATGGTAGGGGCTGGGCCTGAATATGTTGTGATCGAGCTCTAGATTGGAGTTCGTCATTGGCATCGATATAGGAGGGATCATAACATCCTGGCCGCTAACTTGTTGAACCAATGTATTGCAGGTTAGCAGAAATGGCAATAACAAAATGATGACGAAACATAATTGCGTTAATTTATGCAAAATATAGCTAAATAATGTTGTGGCTATGCGTGGATTTGTTTGAGCTCTTCTCCATTTAGATGTGCCCGATTTTGTACAGTGTATCGCTTGTACTGCATCGATTGCATTATGGCAAAAACAAGAAGTATCCCACAGTAGAAGAGTAGTATAAGAAGAAGAAACTCCAGTTAGGCCATCTCGCAGCTCGTCATTTCTGGCCCTTTCGGTTCCTATTTGAATATCATCATTCCAGTTGAAAATACTTTGGAATGTTGCCGCAACGTATTCAGATTCATTACGTATTTTCATTTTTATACCACATGGCCTCAGATCGCAAATGACACAGAAATAACTTGAACTATCGGCTGCGTGTTCGATCTTGTCTCTCGCCCTGTTCAAAATCTCGCACTAAGCTTATGCTCATTTCATCACAAACAATATACGGTATATGTATGCATGTATGTATGTATGCATGTATGTGTGTGTATATGTATATTCATCAAGCCCGCAGTCGTGGCTTTCTTTTATTTGTATGTGCGTACACACATACGCACGTCCATCATAAATATCATAGGTTTGTGATTTGTTTGTGTGATATCAAATTCGTTAAAATTTCAAGTTGGTAATTAACACAAAATACTGTTTAGTTTTAGTTCAATTTAGAGTAAGTTAAAGATCACAGTTTATTATAAATAACAATAACAATAACATATTTCGTGTTTCACATTAACGTTCCATCATACACTACTATCTACAACTTCGTGTTTATTTATTTATTTATTTATGTATGTACATCGAGAGCAGAGACGAAAACCTGTTCGGTCAGCACTTCATATTCGACTAAAATACCAGAAAGAAAATGCTTACTCAACAGCCGCAATATAAGCAAACTCTTCTTACTTATACACACACCCACACAACCTAAATTTGTACAGTCCTCGTCATTTGGATAGGGACAGTGAGAAATGTTTGCTTGCACAAGTGAAAATACCTACATATTTGATTATATTTTGTATTATTTTGCATTCAGCATAAATTGTCAGCTGATAGATCTCATGTTTTTAAACCGGACATTCAAAACGTACATATATTAAAATAACATTTTACAATCTCTGTAGAATAACATTGCGTTCAAATTTAATCCAACAAAAGGAGGTGAATATTTATTTTACATTTGTTGAAAACCCTTTTTTTATACTCTAATAATCTAATGTATACACACAATTATTAGGAAGTACGGAAGTAAAATATATTATAGGCTTAATATTTTTTAGTGAGCTCAGAAATTATCCAATAATCAAAACCTTTTTAGCTAAAATTCTACCAATAATTATATATGTACATATATATAATAACATGAGATATGCTATATGTGCGGGTCCTATTCAGTTAAGTGGAATTGTATGCGAGTGTTTTTTTTGTTATACCCTACAAATTTATTCTTGGGCATTTCTATTTGAGTGTGTGGGCCAACATCGCCCCACGCATTTTCCAGGAAAATATATTTGAACACAATCATACTAATGTATGTGTACTAGGGCTGGTCGTATGTCGTGTTTTTTTTTTGTTGTGACACGACCACGAGCATCATACATATATTAAAATGAGGACTTTTGCTACATTACAATCTTCGTTCTGTTACATTCTCCTGCATGTTTGTATATGTATGTATGTATGTATATATGTTGTGTAGGTAATTGCATGTGTGTACACATTTTTTTTTTAATAATTCAAGTTCTAGTGATTAGCTGCAGCCAACGAGCTGCAGTATTTCATTGATAAAAAGAATCTCGTCTCTGAATGTTAACGTAAACATTCTTTGTGAGAGATAATTATATGCACACTAACGTATTCTCTTTACACGAACCTGTGTCAGATATACACACACATACATATATTGCATACAGTGACTCACGCTTGAATTAACTAAGGCAATATAGAAACCTTAAGGGAGTTGTAAAAATCAGCAAAAAATCATATACGAAAAAAGGTTTTTTAAAAACAATAGACCTTAAATTACAAAAATAAATCGAAAAACAGAAGAAAACAAAATTAAATTGCCATGACTTGGCTTATCTTAACAAATTTTTTAATGCTAACAGAATATCTATTATAATATTTAATAGAACTCCCATCTCCTACAGCTACTATCACTTCTGGCGTCATTTTGATACATGCTTCCGCTTTTAAGTAATTAGCGCTGAGCGGTTTTTCCAAATCACATCGATTCTTAAAAGTTCCCCAAGTTAAGTTTAATTTCAGCTGTGAGCCACTGTAATGTAAATGCATACGTATGTATGTAGATATGCAAAAGAAATTCCCTATTTGTGTAAACGTATACATAGATATGCAAGGGAAATTCCCTATGCATTCATTTTTATAAACAGCCAGGGGGAAGTATTAACTTTGCAGACAAAGCGGCATTTGTACGCATCTTTGTGTACATGGTAAGTATGCGGGCTACGGGATTTCTGGATTTTGTATAAAAAAAAATATCTTTTGGCAGGGGTAAAAAGTAGAGTTCTCGCAATTTGCGTTTCATACCACACACGCACACACGTAGACAAATACATTTAAAGTGTGTGCTTGTGTGTGTCTGCTGGAATGAAAAACTAAAGATCAGTGTTGTAAACAATTATTTTAGTGTAGAGCAGCAAATTTGGATGATACTATGCGCAGTCTCAGTGCACTCATTGAGTATTTAAATTAAAGAAATAGTTCAGCTAAGCATTCCAGATAAGAAGCATTAAACTCAGATACAATCAAAAGTTTACTCTTTACTCTTTACAATTATAGAAGTTTGACTTTCATGGTGAATGTACATACATGTATGTATGTATGTATTATATTGAATACATTTTGAAAACCTAAAACTTCTTTGATACCAGCGTGTTTTTTTTTTTTAGGGGTTGACAACCAACCGAAGCTAACATCTCCAGGAGGGATACGAATTTCCAATTTAGAGAATATGACAGGAGACATTTCCCATTACATAATGTGTATTATATGTATGTATATTATTCAACCTTCTTGTATAGTTAAGAAAATCATGTCACATAAAACCGAATATGTTGAAGAACCTAATGAACTTTATTAAAAATAGTACAGTAATACATTCATACATAATTACATTTACCTATAAATATGTTATCATAAAGTACGTTTGGTATATATACACTAGTATGTACTATTATGACTATATATAACTTATCTTGAATGTATATTATCTGTTCATATATTTTAATGTATGCGTCCGTCCATATATATACAATAGGCAACAAAAGTAAAGGTTTCAAAAAAAATTATATAAAGGTCAAAAATAATATAAGCCATATTTTTCAGTTTATAAAATATTTTTTTTAATTTCAATATATTGTTATATTTAACTGTGTTAATTTTAATATTGGATGGTGATTACTACTGTTAATTACAAATACCAAACTAAATCTATTAAATCGCAACTCAAAATATCAATTATTTATTATCGTTACCAAAATTATCAGGCAAACTATATATATTTATGTTTAGTCAACACATTTTGTAGAGAATATAATTAAAAGTTGAAAAAATTGGGCAGAGTATAAAAATGATTATGTAGCTGCTGCGATTTTGGGAATTACCAACAATTATGGCTAGCCCTTGCATATGGGTTTTGCTTATTTAACTGTACGAATACTTAATACATCATATATCACATGTTCTAAAATACAAAGCTCGCTTATTGAGCCGAATGAAAGGGGCAGTAAAATGTGCTGCAAAAAAGAGGTACTAAAACTCATTTGCAGGCTATACCAAAAATATCATACTTAAAACATTCTTGAAAACAAGTTGTAGAAGTACAAATATCTCAGCCAGAGTTAATTGTTTCGGCTTGCCAAAAAAAATATGAACTGACATTTAGTACAAATATAGAAAATTCACTTCCTTAAAACATTTCGGAAGCTTTAATTGCATACATTAAGTTATTATCTAGTTGTTAATTTTGAAATTATCTATCTTAAAACGCATATGATTTATATCCTTATAACGTAATATATAATATAAAGTAAATGCAATTAATATTTTCCGTAATAAAATTTTGCTCGATACCTAGCAGACTTTTAATTTGTTTTGTATTATAATTTTTTGTACAATTCAGTCATAGCATATATCGATGAAATGCATACTATTGTACTTAGTAACTAATATGATCGATCTTAAAAAAAAAAACAAAACATATAAACCAAGTATGTCAGAGAGTATAATTAAGCTTAAAGATGTACTTTAATTCGTACATTATTTTCCTTCGTAATAACTTAAATATCTATATTTAATTTATATCTACATGCGTGCTTTTACTTATATATAATATATGACCACATAAGACAAATAACAGATTTTCAATCTGGAATCTCGAATCGGTTTTTGAATTTAAGTATCGTGGATCAAACGGGGAATGAAAAAAGCTTTTTTTTATATTATAAATCACTTCGTCAATTAGAATCGAAGGTTTGGTTTAGTTGGGTGAAATGATCTTTAAATCTTTTGGTTATTGAGATTTTGTTTTTAGTTATGTGGGGGGATTCACATATCGAAATGATTAGTGCATATGATGCAATCGATCTCTTATCAGAAAATACGCGATTAAATTAAAATATGCAGCATGTTTTGTTGCTCGAGTTGGCACTTGATAGAGTAGTATATAATATGTGTATGCATGGTTTGCAAAACAAATCCTTTGCGAATTGTAAATGGGATGCTTGAAATGAAAAAGATCAGGTCAGCAGCAGCGTTATTGATCACAAAATGGAACGCACATTCTTGTCAGCAGTTTGAAGTATCCTCGCCGTCGAGTGTACAAGCAACGCTTTCAAGTTTGCTGGACAGATGCATCTTTTTACAATTTGGGTCCGAGTCCAAAGCGTCCATGATCTGGAAGGAAGCGTTTTTACCAATTCTCATTATTACCAAATTCAATGCTTCTCACTCACCTGTTCTCTGTACTTTGTTATATAAATGTAGAGCTCTTTGAGTGCGGAAATTGTGTCAAATTCTTCATTCTGTTGTACCGACAATTGCTGCATGGCTGTGCTCATTTCCTGGTCACTGATTTGCGGAAGCCTTGCCACGTCTCGGTAAAATTCCTTAACCATTGTTCTATAGTTCGGAATATCCTGTTCAAATAAAGCGAATCAGTATCAGTATCCACAGTATGGGAGTACGTATACTTACTTTTGCAAAGAGAAGCTTGTTGGATGGCGAGTCCTTGCCCAATCGATGCTCGGCCGTTGAACAGGCGTCCATAAAAGTCTGTGCTATGACACTGAGGCAAGAATCGACGGAATATGTTTTGTTAACATCGAATATGAAATCTGGATTCTTAATAAAGTTAACCCAAAATCGTAACGGCAAACTATTTGACTTCCATGCATGCAATATATCAGTTTCGGCAATATTATGACGTCTGGCCGCCTCGTCGAGCAGATCGAAAAGCCATTTAACTGCCGGCGGTAGCTCTTCATTTACGGTCAATATTATGGAGAAGAAATCATCAACGAATTTCTGTATGGTGCCCTTTGTGGCGAGCAGGCGTGTTAAATACACCTCGGGTATGGTTTTATTAACCCGCTCGCTGCCGCCGCCGTTGCCGCCGCCGTTGCCAATGTTGCCTTGCGCCGGGGCTAGCACTCCGGACATGGCAGAGTTTTTGATATTCATGTAGTGATCCGGTATTATCGGCTTGACCAAATGATAAAGTCTCGGCTGCTGCAGACCGGACTCAATATCGTTGTTGATGATTATGTGACTCTGTGAGTTGTTGATGTAGTAAACTAAAGAAAAGAAAGGAGAGAGAGTTAACAATTGATATGTCCACATTTGGATTCGACATAACTTACAGTTGTGGTAAGGCGCCTGCTGCTTGCTGTAAGGCATATTGTAGCTATCGTTCTGCCTGGCTATGAGGGACATCACAGCCGACTCTTTGACGCCGTAATGCGATAACGTATTGAGGCGCTTCCAGCCGTTAATGGTTTTTGTGGTCAGATCTTCGTCCTGCAGGGTTAAATGACCGCCGCGACCGTGACGCCACTCGAGATCGACTTCGTGCACGGACGGACGCATCGAGAATGGGGTATTTTTGAAAATCGCATCGAGTATCTTCAGTTTGACCTGAGATATTGTGTCCCAGTCATTGACGCGACACTGAACCTTTTCGTCCAGGTCATCCTGCAGTATATGCAATATGACAACGGAATGTGTAACCTGTTCGTGCAGCAGACGTTCCTCGGACAGCGAATATCGAGCATCGTGCGTTATGGCATCCACGAGACCCTTTTCCACCTGATGCTTAATGGCCTTGAACAGCAGAAAGAGACTGGAGCCGGCATATTCCTTGAGATAATCGTACATGCATATGGCCAGATAGTTGGTTAACATTTTCTCAACGACGCTCTCGGTGCGCCGAAGCATCAGCTGGGGATGCTTGCTGGCCAGCGACTTGTCGATGAGACGCAGCAGAAGGCATTTGAGTATCTCGGTGGCATATTCCATTTTGTTCATTAGGACTATCATTAGCAGGGAGGCGACATTGACGCGATCGCGTATCGAGAACGATGATCTCTGCGCCTCCAGAGTCTCGATAAAGGTCAATAGGAAATATTTATTGCTGATTAGCTGCTCGAATTGCATCATCGCCGTATCGTAATTTGTATGCTGATTATTGCCGCGCATTTTCGGTGAATTCAATATGGGATGATCGGAGACGCCGGGAAAGAAGACTTTCATAATGTAATTAACATGATCGAGCGTCGGTATGCCGCTGCTCTCCAGATCTGCGGTCAGGTCCGTCATATCCGTTTGGAGTTCGGCAAATGCCTGTTTGCATTCGGAGCGCACATTGCTCTCCAATGTTATCATTTGGATTTGTATCCGTTTATATTCGCGCTCCGCTTGCGTGGACTTTCGCCTGAACATGATCAGCACAATGATCAGTATAACAATTAAGCTGGCGACAGTTAGGATGATGCCCAGCATGGCATGGGAGAGCAGAGAGTAGGGTTTGTTCAAATCATATTTGAGATAGCCAATAACAAAGCGCAAATTGCGGCCAACTTTGACAACGACCAGCGGCAAATCGGACGACTGATCGATCCCGTTCTCATCGGTCGCCGATGGCTGCTGCTCCGGCGGAATGCACAGCAGCTGGGTGAGAGCCAGGCTAGTTATATTGCACTGAGCGGTGCCGATAGTTACATTCACATCGTACTCATCGGCCGCCAAGTTGAGGAGCTCGCCTTCGATGACCAAAGTATCGCCCTTGTAGAGCTTAATGCCATTGTTGGCAAACGGCAGATACTTGGGATCGGTCAGATAGACAATCGTGCTCCGGATGTCATGGAAATATTTGTTCAAGTCGCGCACCAACTGCACATTGTCCATGACAAAGCTGAGCTGTAAATTGAGCTGCGTCTCGTGTACCTTCACAAAGGCAGCCACATCCATGCTATCCATGCTGGCGAAGTAGCTCGACGCCGTCGAGCCCGTTCCATAGATGTTGAAGCTGTCATTGAAGAGGACATTGCGCTTCGATTTCTCTTTTCTCCGATCCGATTTTCCGGTTTCGATGGCGTTCTTGAGCAAGTCAAACTTTTGGTTAACCGGCGGCGATGGGCACTCCATTTGGCTGGAATTGATCACAGTGCAAGATGTTTTGTTGACGCGTTCATTATCAAAGAAGACCTCGAGCTCAGGATTTTGTATAGAGTCCAGATACATGCCGTGCACGGTTAGGATGCGGCCGCCGCTGACAAAGCTGCGAAGCGGCTTGATTTGCATTATGCGCGGATCTTGTGTGTAGTTAAAGATCGAGCACGGCGGCGGCGGCGGCGGCATATTGTAATATGCTCCGTAATAGCTGCGCGCTGATGTCGATATCAGCTGGCCAACTGGCTCGGGATTCTTGCAGGTGAAGGTACGATTGGCACCATCGACGACCAGGCGCAGTGAACGTATTGGCTCCGGCTGTGTCGCCTCGGACGTTATGCACGATAGGCGCGAGGACGAGGCCTGCGTCACATTTATATGGCATTCGTATTCGTCGAGAAAAGCCCGAATGCTTGAGCCAATATTTAGGTATTTGCCCAGCAAGGACAATTGTGTGCCGCCCGATTTGGGTCCAACTGTGGGATATAGCCCGGTTAGCTGGACATCTTTAAAATGAAATTGTACACTCGATTCCGTGTAACCGGCATCATTGGCCACCTTAATCGGTGCGGACATCTCGTGCAGTGCGGCACCGGTGCGACACTCGATCTTGACAGATATCTGATAGTTGACCAGCTCGCATGGCACTGTGCCAATCGAGATCTTGCCGCGCACATCCTCCTCGCGTATGCCCAAATTGCTGCCCTCAATTGTCACCAGAGTGCCGCCCTCAACGGGCCCGGACAGGGGCTTAATGATGTCAATCCGCGGACGTGGACACTCGTTTTGCAGCGACAGAGCCGAACCTGCCCCAACTACAGATCCGGCGCACGTTTCATTGTAGACACACGAGCTGCCGCACCAGGCGCACTGATACTTGGGATCTCGTGTAACGCACAGACTGCAATCGGCGTGCTCGCGATGCGAGCCGAGCACATCGCACTTGTACAATATGACCGTGGCGGTGTCCACATAATGCTGACGATTCCAAGTGATCTCCACCTTGGCCTCGTACTCGTGCGTGTTCGTCTCATAAAAGTACGGCGTCTTCTCGCACACAACGATCCGGTTGGACTCAATGTGTGCCGGCAAAAGCATTTGGGCTGCCTCGATTTGAATTGTGCACAAATAGCCGGCATGCGCGCTCTTTGGCTTTGGGAGATTTTCGATCTCCAAGCGAATCTCCTTGGGTACACGAACTGGCAGCAATATTGGCTGGCGGTTGCGCTTCAAATGCGGACACTGTCCCTCTGTACTGATCGCATTCTCCATGTTGCGGCATTGCTCCGATTTGTGGACGCACTTGTTGTCGAATATACACCAGTTGCAGCCCCACGAGCTGCGCACGCACGACTGGCAGTTGCCGTGATGCGAACAGTCAAAAAATGCAAAGGAACGCGAGACAAAGTCCTTGTTTGTCTCCGAGCTGCGCACCGAGAGCGGCACCAATACATGATCCATATTGGCCGCAATGCTCGGCCTCTGATCGATTGGCGGCGTCGCACAGGCCAGGCCATGCTCCAGTATTTCGGCATCAATTGGCGTCGAGTTGCCAAAGACACAACGATATTTGGCATTAAATGGCTCCGGCAGCGTTCGTATCACCAGCTGCACCTGTGTCAGTTCTGTGATGGGTATTTTATCCGGCACAATCGATTCGAAATCAATGCACTGCTGACCGCTGCCCAGCGATAGCCAGCGCGATGCTGACGTATCCCGCTGACACGTGGAGCGGACCGTGCAGCGCTTCTCCAATGAGCACCAGCCACAGAAGGGATCCCGCGACTCCAGACACGCGGAACAATTCGAATATACCGAGCAATGCTCGATACGCAGCTTGGTTATTTTACGCTTTGACAATACATAAAGAAAGTCCTTTTTCGGTGACATCATTGTGTTGGGCAAAATTCGACTGCCGGCATCCACAACGATTTCCTCATATTCACCGGGCTTTTGGCCAGACAACAACACCTTCTTGATGTTGCCCGCTTCGGTGCCAAGGAACGCCAGCGAATGCTGTTGATCTGTTGTTGTTGTCGCCGTCACCGACGTGACGGACACATTATCAAAATGGAATAACGCATGCGCCGAAATGGGAGCAACTCCACTGATTTTCAGTCCCACATTACAAAAGTTGTATATATTGCCCAAAGAGCCGACAATCGGGCATCTGCCATCGTTGATGGTGCCCGATATATAGCCGAGATTTCGATCTTTGATCGTCCCATTGAAGCACATGTGTATATTCTCAATGAACACATCCTCAATGTCCTTCAGACTATATATGCACATGGCTGATTTATTTTCTGGCTGGTCGCTAATCTCTTTCGAGGGCGAAAACACGGTCACCAGCACATGATCATCCCGCTTGATGCCCATTTGATAGGCCAGCTTTTGGCTGGCGTGCGTGATCTTCGCATCGCGCAATATATTATAGTCGATGTGATCGTCTGTCGCCGTGCACTGTATCGTTATCTCGGTATAGCTGTCATAGTTGGGATCCGTAATGCAGATGCGTGCTAGACGCGTCACATAGCCAGCCTCTTCGGCCAGATGCGACTTCTTTTGCACAAGCACAAAGTATGCATACTCTGACGAATTGAAGCCGTAGACGTAATCAACAAGAAAGTGATCACGATACTTCACATCAATGTTGATAATCGACTGCTGAATTGAGAATTCGGCATAGTTTAGATCGTCGAGGCGGCGCGACGATATCGCGGGCACATCATGCCGATAGTCACCCACATTGGTGAACGTCGTTCCCACATAGAGTATATCCTCCTCTTTCCACGAATAACGCGCGGGTCCAACGAACGCATAAGTCGATGCATATTCGTCATTTGCGGCTAATGGCACGGCCACAAATTGCGGAGCTGCCGGAAATCGCAACAGATTGTAAATCTCACAGGCACCTGCAGAGAAAAAGTTACATAAATACAACTATTTCAAGTGTACCTAGATGAGAGTATGTGGTATATTTAATGGTAAATGGCCCATATCTACACAAAACAACTAAAAGTGCCCGATCCACAGATTCCAGCTTTCTTCTAAACATAAATGATGCACAAGCTTGCTGCGCTCTATGGGAAATGCTTTCGTTGTTTCCTTCTTTGTTTATTGCCCGATCTTTATATACGTGCAAAGATTTGAAACAAATTCGCAGAGCACAAGCAATATAAAACCACGTTCAAAATGTAGTCTCCGGCTTTTATGGTCTGAGAAGGTGTGCATACCAAATTGGGTGCGTCCATATTCTTGAGCTGTGAGATATATCCAAAAATAGGATTTTGATATCGCTTTTTATCTGCGCGAGCAATAGGAAGAGATTCATTGAAGTTTGTAGCTCTTCGACACTTTATTTTACATACGGACGGACAAGGCTAGCTGGAATGCAGATCAGAGATCGGGAATGTTTCCTTCTGCCTATTACAAACATTTGCAAAAAAAACACCATTTACCAGTCAGTAAAAATGGATTCTATTGTTCATACCTTGTCGGATGCTACCACATGAGATGAGAATGCCGTCGTTATGAGCATAGCTAACTACCAATATCTTGTTGAAGTTATTGACCAGCGCTGTTTCCACATCCTCCGGACAGCCACCGGCGTGGCATTGCGGTGCATCGTGCTTGGGGCCAGTGACAGCCTCGGAGAGAACTCGCAGATTTTCATTTAGCTTTAGTATCTTGTTTGTAGCACCCGCATACAGTACGTTGTGCGTATAATCAAAGGTGAGATGCGTGAAATAGTTTTTCGATTGACTATTTGAGCCAACTCCCCCTAATCCGTTAGCAGCGTTTGTGCGATTGCCAAAGTTTGCTTCCGTTGATGTTGAGGTGGAGCCGCTGCCGCCTGCCTCAAATGCTCCTCTAGCCACGCCGCCGGCAATAGGCGGTAGAACGAATTGAGCAACTATATCACTTGATGGGAACTGCTGCTTCGACGGCGATACTTGATGCGGATGCAGGTGCGTATTTCCGTGCTCAACTTTGACGCAGTCCACTGCGGAAAGCATTTGCGATAATAGAAAAAAGGCATCCAATATGTATATGGCGCCATGCTGGCAAAAGAGTTGCCGCAACATCCTGTATATGCGAATCCTCCGACCACTAATTTATATGTATAGTAAAAATTCAAAATGGTGTTTTTTTTCTTTTCATAGGGAGTTGAGGCGGAGCAAATGCGCTGTGCTATTTTAACAATGGTACAGCCAGCTTTACCAATGCTTGAATCACATTCTATTATACACTGTTAGTTGGAATACGGTTTAGAATTACATTGCGGTAACAACAAAATATTTTGTCAATCAACAAAAAATAATTCTGCGTACACTACTTCAAACACGCACACACATACACATATTGTGGAAAAAAGTGTATACTTTCATAATAGAGCTGTCAAACCATCAACTACTATCGATGAATCAAATGATTACTGCGATAGCATATTTGACAGCTCTCCTGTACTATCGATAAAAGTATATAATTAATACATGTTTCTTTTTCTGCTAGCAGAACGGTGGTCACACTCTAGAAAAAAACGACAGTCGAGTTGGAAGCCCTATTTCCTGTTTGAATTTCATCCATAACAGTCGATTTTATGTTAACATACACTCAGATAAATGGACGCACATTCATATGTAACACGCTCTATGTGCGTCCATTTATCTCTAAGATTCATAAGTGAATTTTAAGTGATATTCCGTTTTGTAAGGCAACTTATCATATGTGATATGCCATCATCAACTGCTCGCTTGAAGATAGGTTTATAAATTAAATTTAATGTTATGGATTATAATTGATTTTCGCTCTCACCAATCAGTTATTTATGGTATATAGAGCAAGCAGAATTATGAATTATTCATATGAATAGTTACAATAGGCAAATATTTATTATATCTTTATTTTTATATCGACGTTCAAAAATTTTCATTTAAAATTGGGAAGACACGTATTGGTAGTTTTTGATTATAGCTAGCTTAAATAAGAAATGCATCTTCTTGAATGGCTTAAATACAAATACAATTACAAACGTTTCCTTATAAGCATATATGCGTATACATAAATATGTATGTATGTATGTATGTTTCTTCGCAGTCGATCGAGCATAAGTATACGAAAATACAAAATAAATAATTCTTAATAAACCTCGTCAATACTCGAAAATATCAGTACCCTGAAGCTATGTGTGTAAGTACATGAGTGTTGCTTGTGTTTTTATGAATGATAATTAGAAGTATGTCGTAGATTTGGTTTTGAAATGAATAAAATCAATGTCCTTGCCCTTTTGTGCAGTCGTGTCTGAATATGATCAGTGTGGCCAACTGTCGCTTCAAATAAGTAGCTAAATCCAATGTTAAAAAAATATATGTTGGCGTAAAAAGGGTTGCCAAATGAGTTTAGAATTTCAACTGTCTGTCTAACGATCTTATTGGTCTATTTCAACTGAATTGGCAACTCTGAATATGAATCTTTGAATGATTTATAAAAACTAGTGAGCGTAGGTCTTTTAAAATGTAGTTATAACCATTAATTAGCATATGCGCTACTGCATCATCTGCAGGTATCGATTCTCTTCGAGAAGAGAGCTTAAGGATGTTGTCATATCGTTGATAATCATATTTGTGCTGGGATGCGGATGTGTCGAGCTGCTGACATCGGCCCAAATTGGATTGGGCTGGGTACTGGCCACCTGAGCATTGCCCATCAACGAACTGTTTGTCTCCATCCAGTTCTGGCAGCTTTGCACATATTCCAGGGTACGCTGATAGGTTTCCGAATGCATTGATGTCATATTGCTCTGATGCTCTGACAAGACTTTAGGCTCCGCTCTCAAGGGCTGAGCAACTAACTGCCCCTCCATGGGCTTCGGCAAACAGGGATTCTGACTCTGTGCCGGGCAATTGACATCCATATTTGCAGTCGGCGACAACTGGGACTGGCTAACGACCCCGCATTGTATCTCGTTGCCATTGTTAACGCCGTGAACAGCTCCCAAGGTATTGGGAGGCGTCAGTTCCGGCAGACTAGTCATCGAGGAGTCAATAATCTGTTGTGGCTCATAACTGGGTTGAGTCGGAGCCTGTGCCGGATGCTGGGCCTGAGCCTGAGCCTGGGTCATGGCTATGGCCATGGTCGTTGGGGCGGGGATCGGTGCCGGTGCCGGCGCCGGCGCCTGACCCGACCCGACAAACGGATCATTATTAGATCTTGGTGTACTACAGTATACTGTCTGCTGTTGACGATAGAAATGGGTAGCGCCTTCTGCTTCATAGTTGCGCTGAGAGTATGGACTACCCAACGCCGACATTGTATGTCCGGATTGGGGGGACATCAGCTGCACAAGTGGAGATGGACAGTTGTTGGGAGTGTGGGTGGGTGCTGGCGATACCAAAGGCTGATATCCCGAATTAACTGTAAGTGATCCTCGATCGCCGCCATCCTGTATATTGTTAGCTGGCGGAGCTGGTGTTCCAGCTTCCTCTGATTTTGGCTTCTCGGTTTCCTTAACCAAATTCAGATACTGAAGCATCTCATCGGGTAGTATAAGCTCCTCGACCTCATCCAAATTGACCTTCTCATTGGGATGATGTTCCCGCGAATTATCCATAGTTGGGCAATCCTTGGTTTGCACGCAAGTGGAAGTGGAAGTGGAAGCCGTCGATGGACACGTTCGATTTCTGTTATTGGGATTGACGGAGCTGCGCATGTTCTGGAATGCCGTTGGATTGATCCTTCGATCCATGCTCTGCTGTGCCATTATCGGCTCCGATTGACGTCTATGCTGCGAATTCGGATTTTCTTCGTAGGCATTGGCAAAATGCGAATTGAGCGGCGATTGAAGCACGTTTGGAATCGAATAGCGTCCGCCACTTTGCGCAACCTTTTGATTTTGATTCGGATTCAGATTCTGATAGTAGGCGCTCACCTCGCCCGATTGCAAACGTTGCAAATGCGAGGCAATCAGGTGAGACGACGGCGGGGGAGGCAGGCTGCAGTTGCTGCGCAACCCGGACCCGGACCCGCCACAGATGCCAGTCGATGTTTGGGACATTGGAGGAGCATTCGCGTTGAGCACATTCGACATTTGACTGGAGCGACGAGAGCAGCCCGGCGATATTGGATCGTATAAGGAGGAGGGCGCGCCCGATGCCGTATTATATACGGGGCAGGGCCTCATTGTCGATATCGATGACAGCTGCGAGGATTGACTGCTGCGCCGGCTCTGCATGCTGCAGTAATATGTGCTGGCATTCGAGTTCTGGCTATCGCGTCGCATCGCAGCTACCGCTGCCTGCGAGTAGCCGCCCTGCTGGAGCTGAGCCGCCGCCGTAGATCGATTCTGCTCGGTTAGCTGGAGTCCGCCACAGACGTTGCCCGGCAGGAGTCGACCCGTATTTATTGGCTGCGGAGTGGCGGCTGTGGCGGTGGTGCCCGGCTCCATTTTCAGCTCGGTAATACGCTGGTTGAGCTCTATGATGCCAATGGATCGGTTGCTTTCCGGTATGTTGGACAGCATCGAATTGCTCGAGTTGATCACCTTGGTCTGCAGGCGACTGCGGAAGCGCTGACGTGCCATGGTGGTAGCACATGCGGCGGCATTTCCGCTCCCGTTGCCAATGTTGACCATTGCACGGAGCACAATGGGCAGATCGGCGGCATCGACATCGTCATCATAGGGCCAACACTCGTCGAGGGTCGGCACGGTGGTGGCATTGCTTAGATCATCCTGCCTGTAGATGTGCATCAGGCAATCGGAATTGGTAGCCGATCCGCCGTGTGCTGCGGCCAGTTGGCCCGGCGAATTGGCGTCCGACTCCGATTTGATGCTTGGACTGGACACACTGCCTGGTTTGCCTCCATGCAGATCGTCGCTGCACGGACTCGAGTCAATGTGCTGCTCTTGCAGTTGATGATGCTGCTGCTGCTGATGCTGCTGGTGCTGCTGCTGCTGCTGGCCACTGTCTCTATCCCTGTCCAGTCCCGAATTGGCATCGTGCAGCGGCAAGCCCTTATGCTTTTTATTTGCATAGAACTCGGCGCCGTGAACGGTCTTCACGTGCTTGCGCAGCGAACTGGGATCCGTGTAACGCTTTGTGCAGCCCGGCGCCTTACAGATATACGGTTTCTGTTTTAAATCGAGTTAATGTTAATCATTATAATCGAAACTTGATTCAATTTACATATATCAAAAACTCACCTCGTTGCTGTGGGTTCGGTTCTGGTGCTTTGCACGATCGCTGGCATTGCTAAAGGCTTTGCTGCAGCCGGGATACTCACAGGTGTATGGCTTTTCACCTGTGTGCGATCGCAGATGGGTTTTCAAGTTTTCCAAACGAGAATACGCCTTGTAGCATCCCTCAAACTGTAATAGTACACAATATTTTGTAAGACTTTGAATAATCCAATGTTAAACTAAGTTATCGATGAGCATGCATGTATGTAACTCTGTTAAATGCAATATCGATACATTCTTTGGTTTGTAGCTCCGTTTAATTTAGTATCGATACAAACCGAAGGAAACTATCGCAATTTTCAATATGCAAGCGATCACTTTTTGAAAGATTGTGAAATCGTAAAAGAATAAAAAACCGACAAATTAACTTTACAACAAATAAATATGTATATAATAGACATTCGAAATAATTGAAGGGAATAGTGGAAAAACTTACCGTGCATTTGTGAGGCTTTTCTCCAGTATGGCGACGCATGTGTACAACAAGCATATACTGCGCCTTGAATGGCTTTTCACCGCGCGAACAGGCTTCCCAGCGACAGACGAATGCCTTCTTGTTGCTCTGGATGTGATCGTTGTTGATGTGCTTCACCAGCTCGTCCTGGGTCATGAACTCGACGCTACAGCTGCGCCAATGGCAATTGGTCTCGATAAAGTCACCCGGCTCATCCTTAATGTCCGTTGTATCCGCCGTGGCGCAGTCGTATTCGTTGAACGGATGACCATCATGCCCGTCGTCGTGGTGACTAAGCCCGCGATGGCCCGCACCCAAGGCCTTGTTCCGTTGTCTCCGCTCCAGGAGATTTGCTGAGGCGCTGTCTGCTTCCACTTGAGCAACGCTTTCCGATGTCGACGAAGGTTGTTCGATGGGCTTGTTTTTGGCCAGACTCGATCGATTTCGATCGATGCTTCCATCGTCGTAGTTCTTGAATTTATTTGCAATGTTACAAATTAACATATAAGTTTTGTGGCATTCGAAATTAGAGCCCTGCATCGAGTTAACTAAAAGCGTTTCGAACATGTTGTGCTCGATCTGTTCGAGTTCGATCTCCTCGAGAAAATAAGTTCGAGCTGATCGGGTTCGCTTCACGAAAGTTCGAGTCTGCCGGATTTCGGTTTCGATTTTGACCGACACAGGGCTTTAATGGAAGTTACGAAATTCTCACCTTATTCGAGCTGATCGGTTTGATGACGGACTCATCTGCAGCTGTGCTAAGTAACGTGGATGTTGGCGTCGAGTTCTGGCTAGCGTTGCCCAATGCCAATTCCTTGGCATTGGCATTGGCTTTGACAGAGCACTCAGTCAGGCTGAGGGCCGCAGCGCTAGCCGCATGGCTCATCGAATAGCTGGCAGCTGCCGCCGCCGCCGCTGCCTGTTGCGGCGTCATCGGATGCAGAAGTCCGGCGCTGGCGCGCAGCAGATGAGCCTGCAGCTGCTGGAGATGGGGCGCCATTGTCGTGTGGTGGGCATGAGCTATTGGACTGATGGCACTGGCAGACAGATGGCCATAAGAACCGCTCGCAGCGCTGCTCGCCCGGGAGCCATTCATGATCGTGGCCAAGGAGTTGGGCGAGAAGCGAATCATCGAATTGATATCGAACGAGTCGGAGTATGGCGATGAGGATAGCGCTCGTTTTCGGCTAACACTGGCCCGCATGCTGCCGCCGCCGCCGCCCGGACGCGGACTGCCCAGTCGTCCGTTGCCGTCCAGGCTGAAATGGAAATCGGTGCTGGCCAGAGATCCCGCCGCAGCGGCGGCTGCTGCTGCTGCCACAGCTGCATGATGCAGTTCGCTCAGCGAGCCCATGCCCCTCGCACTTAAATAGTCGCCAGAACCCAGACCCAACCCGGCCAAGTGAAACGTTGGCGGACAGTTGCCATACGGATCTGTGTGCGACAATCAATTTGGGTGTCAAGGTTGTCTACAAACTAGCCAAAAAAAACTTACCGTGATAGGAGGCGGTGGGGCTGGCTCTTTGCAAGGAATAGAACTGTTCCACATAGCTGGGAATTCTGTAGGCCGGATGAAAGTCATGCTGTGGCTGTCCTTGCCCAGCGACACCCACATTGTGGCCATGGACATGATGCTGATGCTGATGCTGATGATGATGGTGCAATGTGCCGTTTGTGCCCGCCGCCGCCGCCAGAGTGGAAGCCAAGGTGGAGTCCGCATGCGCCGTGGGCATAGGTGATCCAGGCACTGGAACCGAGCTGCTTACGTCCGTTGTGTGCACCTGGTTATGGTTACTGGAAGGCGAACTCGGCAGCACCGAGGCGGAAGCCGCAGCAGCTGCAGCTGCCGCCCGCCTTGACGCCAAAAACTGTAATTCTGTATATCTGCCATTAATATATAAAAAATATAAAAACAAGAGAAATCAATTTAAAGTGCATTCATTAAATGTGGCAGAAAAAATATTTATTCGAATTAAAATATATTTTATTCATTAATAAATAAAAATAATGGCAGCAAATCGAGTTGAGACAACTGTGTTACACGGGCAATTTCGGGTAATTTCGACGAGCATGTTAAAAAATCCAAATGAAGAGAAGAAAAGAGAACGTCCCAATTCATACAAAATATATGTATCTTCTATTTGGCCATCAAGTTTGCCTTAGTCCCTTATCGAAATTCGAAAAAGTGGCATCTAATCTTCTCTATATATAAAATTGTCCTGACTGATTGACTGACTGACTGATTTACTGACTGACTGACTGAATGATTGACTGACTGATTTACTGACTGACTGATTGACTGACTGACTGACTGAATGGTAATCAACGAATTAAATTGAGTATTAAATTTAATCAATCAATCTTTATATATAAAACTGTTTGTCCTGACTGACTGATTGACTGACTGACTGACTGACTGATTGGGCGAAGTTTTAAGTTGTGTCCGATTTGCTTCAAATTAATTTTCAAAGCTCTACATAAGAGCTTAATAAATACGTATTTCAGCGATTTGGGAAATTCCACCCGCAACAGTGGTAAATTGGCGGAAAACGTTTGTATGAAAGTTGTTTGTTTACCGTCCGATCAGCTTCAAAATCATTTTCAAAGCACGGGCAAGGCCGGGCTATACCCGCTAGTATATATATATATATATATAGACATATATACTTAATTGGAGCGCAGAGCTGAGTCAATTTGTTTGAAGAGAAAGACATGTAAATAAAATAATAAAAATAAAATTAATATAACGGTTGTTCGTATTACCCCGATTTTGGATATTTAGCCCCGAGATTGGAAAATCTACAGATAATTGTTTGTGAATTAGTTTTGTGTTTCATTCGATTAGGTTCAAACTCATTTTCAAAAGATGTTAATTCTAGACAACATTTGTGTAATTTAGCAAAAATTTAATTTTCCGCTTCTCCCAAATTTATTAAATGGGTGAAATACTGTTTGAAATTGTTCAACCTAAAAGCTAGAAAGCTGAAATTTGTACTTTGTTTAGCTAGTTTCACCCCAAAGTGTGGAAAAATCGTGGAAAAACGGTTTTATGAAACATTTTTGTGTACTATCCAAGATTGATCGCAAACTCAAAAATTTCAATGAACTTTTTTAAATTTATTTGTTCTCCTTGGGGGCAATTGGACTTTTAAGAGATGGTGGGTGGAGTTTCGTCTTAAAGTTAATTATAAAAATTCATTTGATACGTTTTGCCCACATTTCGCAGAATCCAAGCTTAATTGGTGAAAAAAATGCGGTTCATATAATTTTTGGGCGAACTTTTAAGTTTAGTTTTAATCGAGTAAACAATAGTTGGACTTATTTTCAATATTATTGAAGTTCAAGAGTGTACGACTACAAATCGATTTTATTGGGTAATAATTTTCTGTCTGAAATCTGTCTGATGATATTTTCAAAATCCATCAACTGGATTCAAGGAAGTGGAGCGGAAGTCTTTATTTTCGCAAAATGTGAAGTAACAAATTTGCCCCGAACAATGAGCCGTGTAATAATAACCGTGCTAATATAAACTGAAGTCTCTGAAGTTTTCGTCGAAAGATTCGGCCAAGCCGAACATTAAATGGCGAATTCATTCGAAGCGTACAGAATATATATGGCATAATTTGCCTTTTCGATTATAGATTCAAACGTGCAGTCTTATGGCTTGCTACACTATTTACGATAAACAATAAAAATTCATTTGAGCAGCTATTCGCCTCCGAATACAAATCAATCGCATTATCAAATATTTAACTGCGTAGTCGCGCGCACTCAGATAAATGTACTCTATTCAAGACCTGACGTTATTTTTATTTCAAATATACATAGACACTCGAAAGGCTCGAATAGAAACGTTTTTTACCTTGTAGTAATATCAGAAATAAATCTAAAATTAAATCTGCATTCATTAAAGTAATTATATTAAGCAGCAAGATTGCGCAGACCAACGCCGGCTTCTATATAGATAAAATAATTAGAAACGATTCGAAAAAATGTTTGCTTTTCTATTAAATCTAATAGAATAAGTTTATTAAAATATCTCCAAACAGCAAGACTGCGACGAGCAATGCCGGGTAATTCCAGCATCTATATAAATATCAGAGTAAGAAACCATATACGAAAAATGGCTTGAACACAAGGTGGTTTGCTTTGCTACTAAATCTAAAAAATAATGATATTAAACAGCCAGCCTGGGCCAAGCAACGCCGGGTAATTCTAGCTTCTATATAGAGATAAGAGTAGGATATTATTGCCAGTCTCTTTCTATGTGTCTTTTTGAAGATCTATAAAACAGGTTTAAAAGAGCAACGGCAACAGCTCAAGAGAAATATAAAATGATGCCGACATCGTGACGCTAACAAAGACATCGACTTCGTGTCTTCGAGCTGTACCCGCAGCAGCACGAAGACAAAAGGGAGGCTGAAAGTGGAGCCCTTTATTACACACACACACACACATACATTTACACGTTTGTGTGTATGTGAGACGATGCTGAGGTCTTAATTAACTACATTCAACCAAAATGCTAAATAGAAACATTTAGCTTCCATTTTTTGACCAGTTTCTACCCTCTGGTAATCCGTTTTTAAAAGAAAAACGAAAGAACTTCCCTCTTTTATCGCTAAGAATGTTGTTCAGCTTAAACAGGAAATGCTCCAAGAAATTAAGTTTTAAAATCTCTGTCTTTAGAGTGTTCCCACCCAGGGAGGGGAAATTGTGGGGTCTAGATCCCTTGCCTCTAGCGATGCCCTCTTATAGATTAACTATCGAATCTCCAATCTAAATAAATAAACTATTTTTGACAGTCAGAAAATCGTAAAATGACATATGGAATATGAATTAAACAAATATGTCCGTAATTCTCGAAAGCTTAGACCCAATTAACCGTGCCTAGTTATTATATACACCGAAACAAATCACGAGGGTTCAAAATTGATAGATATGGGTTTTGCGGTAAAGTTATACAGATTTTTTACAAGAAGAAGAAACGAGTACATTAACTGGGCTGTTATAGTTATAGTATTATACTTTATAGACTTTTGAGAGTTAAGTAGGCTTTTATAAAAAAAAGTCTAACAGAAAGAAAGTTACGAATCGGTTCAAATCCCCAATTTATTTTATACTATTAACCGAAAGTTAAACAATAGTTTCGCTTTAAAATAGAAATTGAATGACGATTTTGGATAAAGGTTCAAGTTAGCGTAAATGCAGGGTGTTGGTTCGAATCACTGTTTTTTCGGTTGGTTGGTTTTTTAGTCCCGAAACAGAACAATTCTATTTTCGAATTAAATAAAAGTTATATAATACTCACGCTAGGGGAAAATACGTTGGTAATGTGTACGCATCCATTTTGGAGTGTGCCGCCGATGTCGATTTGGATTGAAATTGGATTTGGTCACACAGTCTTCTACTATTTTAAAGCACCTTATACATTGTGTTCACAATTGCCGTCGGCGCTGCAGCGTTAGTTGAATTTTTCAAAAATGAATTGATCAATTACGATTTTTCTTCACATACATATACATATGTATATTCTATATCACGCCAAAGGCGTATGGATAGTTATAGAAATTGTGATCGCACAAACTTAAACGCACACACACACACAAACACACATACATATATACATATATATATATGCACACATGTGTACTGTAAACGGAACGACAACAACAAACTGGCAGCAACTTCATTAGAATTTCATTATTTTTAGCATTTTTACTTCTTGTCTAGGTGTTCGCTTCTGCACGAGGATGTGTCTGCACATATTAGACATACCATATGTATGTATGTATGTATACATAGATCTTTTTCTATGTATATGTTTATATGAGAACTCGCGATAGTGTTTAATTGTTCATATAGATACATATAGGCATACAAACATGCAAATCAATTTATGCATTTAACATAATGTAGACATAGACATAGGACACTCACACACACGCATATACATATGTGTAGAACGCGACATTGAACCGCTCGAGGGCATCAATGAACCACTTAATTTGTACTAACTTTCAGGCAGCAAAAACAAATTATGTGTGACAAAGTCAATAACGGGCGTGTACGGCACGGCGTCTTACTGCCGTGTTTATTCCGAGCGGACTGAGGCAGCAGCAGCTCTTGCAATGCCTCGCTTGCTTTAGCTGGAGCAACGCACGGTGCTCACGCACACTCATGCCTGGAAACAAAAAACAAACAGATACTGGTACAGATTGAGACACAGACGCATACACATACACACACATACACACATACACGCAGATACGACGCCATAGACACAAGTGTATACAGCCACAGGTCACGATCTGCTCTGCCTCTGCCTCTGTTTGCTCACAGCCCTAAGTTGAGAGAAGGCGGGCAGATTGAAGATGGCCATACCAAAACGTCGGCTCTCTTGCTAGATCGACTCTCTCGCAACACCAGTGTTGGCCCATGTAGCTGTAGAAAAAGTGTAGACGGCTGCAAAATACATACGAAGCAACTGGTATTGCAATTCATATTGAACATTGAGCAGCCTTTTTAAAAAAAACTAAATTTGTTGTTTATTGTTCAGAAAGCCTAAGAAATTGTTGTCATTTAGTCATGAGAATTACCGCTGCAACCATTGCGCCGTCACTTTTAAGCGATCACTCAAATACATCTTATCAATCTGCAGAAAATCTCTAAATTTTAATTAAAAACCGATGCACAGCTATTATCTAAACGGAATATTAATAAACAAATATTCCCTTGTAAAATGAGTGTCCTGTAGGAAATTATATATATTTGTTGCATAAAAATTGTCTATATTAGAATTGTCACTTTATTAAATTGGCCAGCACTATCAATGATAAAGCTGTTGTCCCTCTCTCTTCAAACCGTAGCATAGCAGATACAACAATACATACACATGCATACATACATACTGTGCATGTGCTTGTATGTATGTTGTCTCGGCGTCGGCGAGCCCAACTTTAACAACTTGCTACTTGTTATGCAGCAGACGTGCACAGACCATCTTTTAGGCGCACCCACATTGTGTCTGCACAGCGCTCTCTTCAACGTTTACTTCTCTCTCTCTCTCTCTCTCTCTCTCCCTCTCGCTCTCTCTGTCGCTATTCCATTTGCTTGGCTCTCGTTTTCGCTTGCACACACTTGGATCTCATTCTGTATATCTCACTCACTCTTTCTCTCTTGATCACAGTGTAGACAGTGTGTGTGTGTGTGTGTGTGTGTGTAAGCATCAGAGCTCAATTAATGCAACAAAATGCTCTTTTTATAAAGAAATTACGCGGATGTATCCGGGGTTTGAATATTCAGACTGCATAATTTGAACAAATGACCAGCTATCCTTCTAGAACTGAGTAAACACTTCCAATTCATGAAAGGAGACCCAATATATCCCAATTTGATCCCCCAATATCACATTCAACTTTTAACACAAATTAGCGGCCAACTCATAGAAATAGATGGATGGGATGCTTTTGTAAATATATGTATGTATGTATGTACATTTGCGTATGCTCTGTACATATTTGTGTTTCTCCATAAAGATGAGATTTACTTGACTTTGTCAACATTTACGCACCAAGTGCCACCGAATAAGCGTATGTCCGTACAAATATATATGGGAGAGGCATATCCGTGCGTACGAATCATACAAATATGTTTACCTTTCCGGTCTTCAAAATCAATACAAGTCTTAGGAACACCTGATTTCTGGTCTTTTACTTTTACTGTTTTTCTATTCGATTTTGGTTTTAAAAAGGATTTATCTCTAGACGTACCAAGGTTGTAAGCCGTGTAAAAACCGGTTTTAAGCCATAATATCTATTGATTTTTCAATGTGAACCGAATCCTTAACCAAACAGGTGAACCGTGGAACCAAGCTTTGAACCGTGGAAAACTAGATTCAGTAACGGAATCTCACATCGAAGTATTTGTAACTTATGTAATAAGATAAATGTTATATAGATAGTACCGACGATATATTTATATATTAATATAATATACATAATATAGAATATATATAAGATACAATACGATATAAGATATAGAATATAGAATATATATATAAGATGGAGTGTTACTTGGATATTACTTTTTCACCCTGTTTCCGCCCGTATTCTGACCTTCTGGAAACTGACTTTAAAGCTGATCGAACAAAAAAGTGGAAACTTTTCCGCCGATTTTCCACCGTTGCGGGTGCAATTCCCACAATCGCCGAGACACGGCGATTCACTGAGTTTTTCTGTAGGGCTTTTGAAAAAGTCTCGAGGCTTAAAACTTCGCTAGTCAAAACTTTGACCACCATATTACAGTTTGGTGGATTTTACCAAAAGTGAGCAACAAAATTAACTTGAGCCCGAAACTTTACCCCCCGCCCAAATCTTTGAACGACGTTTCCACCGAAGGGACAAGGTTTTTTTTTCGTAAATTGTGAAATTTGGAAATAAATAAAATGAGTTTCTGGACGAACGGATGGTAAACAAAACATTTTCATATAATCGTTTTTCCACAGTTGCGGGTGGAATTACACAAAACGCCGTTTCAGTCAGTCGGACAACAATATATTGTGAATTTTTCTTCACACCCATGTTTATCTGTCTTTCT